CCCCAGGCGCCCGCGGCAGACGCGGCCAACAGCCCCAGCGCGAGGTCCCCTCCGCACCGGCTCGAATCCGCCGCGGCATCAAGGGCCACCTCGGAAGGGGCTCGACACCAACCTCGAGTCCCGGGGACCGCGGCTAGTCCCACGGCTCTCGGGCAGGTCACCCTATAAACCAACGCGCAAGCTCCATTCCTGCATCAGTAACGCTTTTGAGGTGGGAAATAAATACGTGTCGCTTAAACGCAATAACACCCAAATTGGAAAGATGAAGGCTGCCTGCCCCGGAGACCCGACCACGACTGAAAAAAGGTGATGGAGAAAAATTAACTAAAGCGCTAACATCTTGCGCTGCACGTGGAAACGTTCGGTGGTGACCAAGGGGACGGCTGACCCTTCCTGGCTCGCAGCCCTCGTTCATCAGAGAGGAAAAACCCCGAGCGCGCAAAGGCTGTTCAGCTGCTGGGATTATTTTGTGCTTGGTGGGATGCAGCACAACTCTCATTTTTAATAAAATGTCATGGTTTAGGAGGGAGTGTTTTTTATAGGAGCGAGCGATAATTACGCTGCAATTAACTGTGCTGCACCACCCCCAGGACTTGACTGCCGAAAGCCGCCATCCAAAAACACCGGAGCAGGCAGTCCCAGATAAATTCAAAGGCACGATCGTATCTGGCGTTCAGGTTTTGTGCCATCGATCAATGATCGGTACAGTTCTGATATCAAAATGAAGAGATCTGGTGCAGGAACTCCTTTGTTTTTCGAGAATCCCACTATAACCCAAATCTCGCAGTTTTGCCCCCCGTTGCGCGCCGTGGCAAACGCGAGCAGGGAACGCGTTTCTTGGAACGGGGAGACAGCGCCAGCTTCTCCTTGGGTTTCTCACCGACCGGGGGAGATCGATTTGTGTCGGAGCACGGAGGCGCCGCTGGCCCGGCGTGAGGTCAGAGGGGACGGGGTGACATCACAGCCTCCCTGGTGAAGCGAGCGCCCGTCCAACACCCATCCCTCGGCCCGGGGGGGTCGGACTGCCTGCAGCGGGGAGGAGAGGCACACAGGCTTTAGGAAGGAGCAAACTCAATCGGGCTCAAAGGGCGAGCTGGATCAAACCAACCCCCCCCAGCTCCCACAAAACATCAGTAAAACATAACTTATTTCAGCACAACAGATCTGCTGCACGTCAATATCGTATTTGTAAGGTTTGAGAGAAAAATCTCCCCAAATCCCCCACGCACGGGTGCTATTCCCTTTGCTACTGAAACTCCTGTCTCCTTCACTCCCTGCTCAGAGGCTTGGAAAGCTTGTTTCCTAAAAACCGGTGATTTGATTTAGCACAAGGCAGAAAAAAACATCAAAGGAGGGCTATAATCCACACGCTTCTTGCTAAAAATCTTTCCTGATATCTGAGCTTGCCACTTACGATAAAACAATGTTAATTCTTTAAAAAGAAAAGAAAACTTCCATCCTGACGTAAAAGCAGCAACAGCTTGTCACTTTAAAGGAAACTTCTAACCTTGCAAAACGACTGTGATTAATCAACTTGTCCATATTGTCTAAATAGTCCATAGAACGGGAATTAAAAATAATAATTCAGAAATTATAAAATTACACACGATAACATAACTGGAAAGCTCTTTTCCATTTCTCTTTTGTTTATTGTTCAAACTTGTCAAACCACTTTCTTTTGTTAAAACAGATTCTTTTGTAATGAAAAGGCAGAGTCCCTTTCAGCAGATGGACTTTCAGAATGAAAAATGTTCTAATTATTACACTTTTCATTAAAGCAATTATCCTCCCAAATTGTTTTTGTGTTTATCTCTGCCAATCAGCAGTAAAGCCATGGAACAATCTGTTGTCACCATATTTTTCTCCTCCAGGTACATTTGTTCAGATTTTTGCTACAGCAGCTCCAGCTGAGATAAGAACAATCTACTGCCTCAGTTGTCTTTGATGTGCCTATAACAAATCCATATATTAAAAGACATTTGTTGAGCTAAATTCCACTCATGCACTAGCCTAGAGCCGAAATTGCCAAGGGAAAATATTCCAGAATTATCTCCTTTAACACTCGCTGTAAGTTCACCTTTTTCACTGCAGATGACGATACAAAATTCAGCATGTCTTCTCTTGGACTACCGCATATTTAGCACAAAGTAAAGATACACAACGCTGTGAAAACCGTCTTCGGTGTGGCAGGCATAAGAAACCCCAAATGCTCATGAAGAAAAAATCACCCTCCGCTCTCAGTCCCCCTGTTCTTTCAGACAAAGGCTCTGGAAATAGGACAGACACTTACCTTCAAACTCACCCAAAGAAAACTACTTTCCAAAAGTTTGCAAGCAAAAAAAAAAAAAAGTCTCAGGGAAAGATAGCGAAAGACAAGCAGGGTCTACCAGGGAAATTGCTTTCAAACGCGTTTATTCAGAGCTCCTTCCCCCGCTGCCTTTTTCTTTTATTTTTTTTTTTTTCATGTGCCATTTCCAGTACCTTTACAACGCACTTATTAACGTAACGGTGACAATCGTGACAAGGGATCCACACCAGGGTACGGCTACCCAGCCGGCCGCTGCCCCGAGGGTTGTCCAACAGGACAAAGGCTGCGAATTAAAGCAGCTTCGATAAAACACCAACTTTAGCGCTCGAGTTGAAATGAAAAATTGTGTAGTGCGTATTTTGTAAAGGGAGAGCTGGTTAGAAGGTCTCTCGCCCCCCCCCCCCCCCCCCCCCCCGACACCCCCTCGCGGGGGCCCGCCGCGCGGGGGGGGGGCAGGGGAGGGACGCGGGGGGAAGCGGGCAGCTTGCCTTGCGCGCTGGAGCTGCCTTCGCACACATCTGCGCTGAAATTCGGTTCTCACCAAATACCCCCTCTCCTTTAAACCTTAAAAGACCAGCTCTGCATTATTCTCTATCGAGATAACGCCTTCTCTCCTGCCAGCATCCCCGGTATTTAATTCTCACGCGCACAGAAAAGCACTTTGCTGATAGAGACGCAGGTACTGCACGATTCCCTATAAAGGGAAATATTTGCGTTTAGCTGGAGATAACCCTGGAAAGCTCCCGGTGCTTATTTGTTTGCTTTTCTTTGTTTTGTTTCCATGACAAGAGTTGGTCAACCC